CGCAACTGATCTTCTCAAAATGATTTTATCACAAAATAATTAATTAAAATTAAAAATAATTTCAATATACATTTACTCTGAACATCGACAGTTGTTAAGAAAAATGGTACTGCACTTTGACTATGAAAAACTCAACAATATTCGTGTCATTAAAATTGAGTTTGAAACTTTTGCTACGTATTAATTACATATTAAATTAGTATAAAATTAAAACTTCATTATGAGTTAATATAAAATTCCCGTTTGAAGTTAGTATTTTTAGAGCAATCTATAAAGGTCAATTTACACGAAGATTTACAATTAATCTCGATGTTTTGTATGGTATCACCAAATGTGAAACACTCGGTCCATTTTACGCCCTTGTCATTTAGTTAAAGTTCTTGGTCTCAAAAGGAGAAGAAAGAAAAAATCACTTAAATAATTTTCCTCGACGTAGCAGTGATACAGCGTATTTACGAACATAATCACAGCACTCGTGAGGACGAAAGTGACGATAAAAGCTTTGTACTAAAAATCTCACCGTAATTCCTCAAACAGAAAAGAAAAAAGAAAAAACTTCTCGTTCGGCCGAAAAGATCTCTCATCGTCGTTTATTTGTACTAGCAACGAACTCTGATAAGAGTCAAATGTGCATTGACGAAGCATACAAATTGGAAAACAATTTTGTCAATGTATGTTACCACATAGCTTCATATTTACAACTGTTTTATTTAACGAAATATTAATTACTGAAAAGTAAATTTGATCGGTAAATTTGATTCACTGTTGAATGAATAACTGTTTTGTTTAACGAAATATTAATTATTAAAAAGTAAATTTGATCGGTAAATTTGATTCACTATTTAGCTATCTCCTAAATACTTTAATTTTCTCTTTCTTAATTCTTTAGTAGCAATTAAATAGTGTTTATAATAAAAATTTAATAACTTTGATCACATCTTATATGCTGACAAAATTGATTCCCTATTTACATACCTGCCACTGTATATTATGCATATGTATTCGTGCATGTGTTATATACACAGATGAACGAACGATTGCGAACGCTCGACACCGTAGATTTCCTATTGAATGCGCTCGGCAGAAATGTCAAAGGACGCAAATCGATCTTTTCGAGAGGAAATAAATAGGTCGCAACAATTACAAAACTAATGTATTATCACTGATAAAAAGTATTCGATCAAACAAACTAATCGACTGTTATAATAATTGTTCATATCTTGAACGTAGGAAATATTTTCATTAATAGTAAAGCAAAATACAATAATGACCGTCATCGTACATAAATAATGTGTTAACATAAAAATGTATTGACATATAAATATATAACATATAAATATTACTTCAAAATATAAATTAATATATGAAAATCGAATAACGATTCAAGGAAGCGTTCAATCATCTCTGGACTTTGAGAAAATGTTTCGGCAGTGTCTATCGTCATCCTATTCAGAAATAATTAATATTAAACTTGATTCAATACTTATACAATAATATCATTTTATTATAATAATCATTTCATTTTTGGTAACAAGATAAGAGCATTTGTTATTACCCTAATATTCTCTTTAAATATCATCGACTTCTCCGTTCTTTTCCTTTAATGTATATACAACACTATATATATATTTTCAATATAATTTTAATATAATTTTAATATGATTAATAATAGTGATCGAACACTTTCTATCGGAGACAATACGAAAAAAGGGTAGAGAAGAAAAGTGAACTAAACAGAACCGAATGTTTTCATCGAAATGTCTCTCCTACTTCGCTGTTGAACGAAAGACCCGCACGCTTTCGCGAAAGTATTAAAATAAGAAGTAGAAACGATGACGATACTCCCCGACTCGCATAATACAATACAGTGTCTATTAATTCTAAATTTCCCTCTTAACCATTAAAACTGACCACTTCTCTCTAAAGCTGAGCGGTTAACTTTGCAAGTACAAGGTGTTCCGTGAAACGTTTCAACCTTATCATACGTTCGCACCAATAGTCGAGACTATAATCGATACATCTTTGGCTTGTTTTTCATTTTCTGTCTTACAAACTCCATTAAATTTCCTAAGAAGTTATGCGTTAAATCGAGAACCTCCTTTTTATCGTAAAGGGTATCCGTAAAAAAGGGTGAACCATCTGAACCTGTTAACTAAGAGAGACGCATTAACGCGTCGTTCGTATTCACCTGCGTCGTCCGACAATTTTCCTAAATTCTTATTTATTTATCTGAAAATTCTAGCGTTTATTGTATTTGCATCGTAATATCTGTGATAGTGTTAAATTACATCATGCTTACGTTTATTAAAAGATTATTTCCCGTTAACACCACCCACGTTTAATTCTATTCTATGACTGTTTATAATCGAAAAATTATCAGGTTGAGAGAAATGACGTAAGATGCAGAATACAGAAAAAATTATCCTATCTGCAACAATGATTCAAATTTCTAATATCAAATAAATTTTCAATTTTATGTTAGCACTGCCAGTGTTGCATGGAATTAATTATACTTTCATCGTGTCCCGGAAATTGAAAGAAAACAATTTAAGCCTTATCGGAATTTACATAACGTTATCAATACTAGAGGAGAATGCATTTGACTATTTCATAAATAACATTTATTTTTCACTGCATCTTCACCTCTCATTATATTATCTGCGTTAAAACATCATCTTTATCTCAAACACCTTATACCTGTAGATTCTACAGCGCAGAAGCTTTAAAACTTTGTAGTATAATCGAAAAGAGATTAATACTTTTATAGAAGCATGTATCATAATGTAATCAAATTTTTTCAGCAGTGTGATCACTCGCAAAAAAAATTGAAACTTTCATGTCGAATGCAATTAACGTGAAAGGAGTTTCTCTCGAAACCGCAATTGAAATTTGTTCATGATTAGCTAAAAAGTTTCTGTTTTTTCATCAAACGATGAGCCTTCGCTGATTGGTCCAGAAAACTGACCAAAATGTAATTTAACATGTACCATTCCTTAATGCATCTCGTATAATGAAAACCTGCATCATTAATTGAGAAACTGCAACTGTTCGCACATATAAAACTGTGCCTACTCGTACTATTAAAACTATGTTAAATTAGACTGTGTTTACGAAAGAGACATTCGAAGTCAATTTTCCAAAAAAGAAAATCCTCCATGAAAATACCAATTTCTTTTAATTAATCTTCGATCGCGGAATCATTTGTTTCTGAAGTTTAGACTTAAACCGTCTAAATGTTCAATCCTCGTGGAAATTTTGGAATATTTTGAACACACTGAGTGAAGAAACCCTCCCTATGCCCGAAATTTAGGTCAGAGCACCAGAAGTCCAACACATACACGATCTCATTAATTTAGACCTTTAGCCTAAGAACGAAAATTCATTTCGTCGCTCACTCTGAAAACTATACGTCCAATAAATAAACGGCTTTGAACGGAGTCAAGAACAGACAGGTACCTGACGGGGCACGATAATTAAAAAATTATCTATTACATCGAAATGAGATCCAGATATACTATAGTTGGAACAACAGCAATCAATCAATAGAGATCGTTTTCCTCTACCTTAAATCTTAATCACACATATGTTAACTCGATTCTTCTATTCGAAAACAGAGTGTGAACAGATTTACGAGGAGAGAAGAAACAAATCTGTCGGCCATATTGTCGCTCTCTCCAGTTAGTCGACCATCTTGTTCTGTTCTAACCAAAATAGATCGTAATCCCATTGCATTCGAACTCTTGCCCACATATAATGCAAGAAACTCTTGTTTTATCAATATTATATATCAATATTATACAACACACGTCCAATTATCATACGCGTTACGGATTCATATGATCGAAGGTTACGATAAATATATTAACGGTGAACTTTCACCCGTTTCGCGAGATTTGCATCACAAATCAACGAAAATCCTTTGGATTCAAAAAGAATTACCTTCGTAAGACACTTAATCGCTATCTCGTGATACTGTTTGCACGAATACGGCGTAATCTCTGTACAGCTTGGGATGATCTCGATCATGCCAATACATTAGTAACCTCTACTAACGTGCCTCGAACGACATGAAAAAACTCGACTCTACAATGTCAAGAATGAGTTCTAACATTCCGGAACGGGAGAGATGTTGTTGCGTGCGCTACTGCGTTTCACGGAAAGAAACATTCGAATCGGCACTAACAATTCGGCTGAGGCCGACTGCGTCCCGAATTTCGTTTTGCGCTATGGAATTAACAAAAATTCTGTTAATCTTTTCGTCGAACTGTGCACCCGGCGTCTACTGGATCGATAGGGAGACATGGCTACGCAGCGTGATATAGAAGCGACGAGCGTGGAATTCTTCGAACGAATTTTCGAGTCTGTCCAATTTTTTAAAGACGGCTTTCACGGAAAGCATTTCGGTCTCGGCGGCATACAAAAGAGGGTGAACGATTTCCATAGGACAGTTTGTCTTTTTTGTACGGTAGGGGCGTTTTTGTGCAACAGAAAACCATGATCTCTATCGCGGCCGTGCGATTCTCGCGCAAACGAAAGACTGTCTCAGACTCGAATCGCATTTTTGAATCGACAATCAAGCGTTTTCGTTCGGGTTACGTGTCTATCGTTAACTGGTAAAGCTAAAAAACACTTTCTCTTTTATTTCATCGTATGCACCACGCGGATTACGCACAGTGGACTCAATTTTCCCGACGTTTTAAGATACTTGAAAAACAGAAATCGCTCTATGAAATCGTTTCGCACCACAGACGGAGTTTCCTTTTCTATATAGAGGTTTCGTTTTCGAAAAGTTCTACGAGCTTCTTCCCCGTTTTCCCTTTTATATTAGTTTTCTCCGTTCGATCGAACGCTGACGAATGCACATCCAGTAACACAGCCTTGCCCTCGTTACCTTAGGACATTTCTGTTCGAGTGTCCCCTCTACCAATTGTTTTCTATCGCAACACTTGAGTAAATTCTATTTCTTTTTTCCCCTAAATAAACAGACACACGTCTGAATAGTTGATTTTAAAAAATATTTTCCGAAAATACCAAATCAGTAGTCACATTGAAGCTAGTTAATTTTATTTTTCTCAAAAGTGACGACATGATTCTATTTTTGATACGCGAAAATGACCAAGGTAACGTAATTGCAACATAAAGCGGAAACCAGTTCGGTTTCCGGTTGAAACTCTCGCTAATCAGCTCCCGTGACTTGCATCAGAAGAATATAAAGGGCAAGGCTGGCCCTAGGTACATCCATACAATCCTCTACTCATCTGCGTTTTTTTTTCTTCGACCTGTTGCCTTTCTTGGAGATAGCGACCGAGGGATTCGAGCAACTGTCTGCGCTTCGCTCGACCGTCTCGCGGCCTGGGTAATCCCCTTCGGTGAACACGATATTTGCGTTCAGTTCGTCCGAGGAGTTCCAACGTTTGGGGGCGGCCTCCTGCTCCGAGTCGCTTCTCTTCTCTGGTTCCGAGGAATCTTCCTTCGTGAACACTGGGTCGTTCTCCAAGTTTCCGTCATCACACTTCTCATCGACCGCTTCTGGTTTCAAAGACTTCTCGGATTTCTTCTCTTCCAGTGGCTGTTCAACCGGTGGGCTTGAAAGGTCCACGAGAGAACAAGTATACATCGGTTCATCGATTACGTTCATAGAGACAACACCTTCAGCTAATTTTGCCTCGTGATCAGACTCATTATCCAACGGATTGAACAAAATGTTCAACTTCTTGCGAACCTTTTCCACGATGGCAGACGATTGCAATGATTCAGGCGGAGCTTTCTTCTTCACGATCGAACTCCACGAACCTTCTGTTGCCTGAGTTGTAGGCTCTTTGATTGTTTCGATGGCAGCTGTCTGCATCTCATCCGTTACTGTTGAGGAACGAGGTGGAGTCTCAATTTGTCTTCGACGAGGTTTCTTTTCTTCAAGCTGAGTGTTTGATTCCTCTACCGGATCAGAATCGGATTCTTTCTTCACTTCGCTCTCTGCGGAGAAACTATTTTTCTTCCTGACAACCGCGCTCCAAGACACTTGCACTCCTGAAGACTCATCGTCATCTGCTTCTGCTACTGCCTCTCGGAGCTTGTCGATCATTGTAGGAGATTTAACCAAAGGCTCAACATTTTTTCTACTGGATTTCTTCTCATCAGCAGGAGCAGACGTTTCCTCTACGCTTGGAACAACATCAAGATCCTTCTTTTCATCCAACTTCGGGGAGAAACTATTCTTCTTCTTAACTACAATAGAACTCCAGGAAGATTCTTCGGTTGGAACAGGTTCCTTTGAATCTACTTCAGCTACAGCTTCTCGGAGTTTATCAATTACCTGCAAACCTTTCACATCTGAACTTTTCTTTGACGAAGTGTCCTGTATTTTCTTCTTTTCAGAATCTTTCTCCAAAATGTTACATTTCGAAACTTCCGTTGCGTCGATCGTTTCCTCGATTTCGACAAGCTTGTCTTCTTCCTTGTACGGCTCAGGTTCTACAGAACCACTTTTTTTCTTGACGATGGCACTCCAAGAAAATTCCGGAACCTCCTGCGAACTTAATTCTTTTTCAGTATCCTCGGTAATCTTCTGTTGTTCGGAGACTTCTAAACTTTGAGTGCTTTCACCGCTAGTCTTCTTATTTTTTCGGGTCTTCTTTGTCCGTTGCTCTTTGACCTCGGGTCCAGACAAAATCTTACACTCTGGGGTCGGTGTTGTAACCGTCAAGATTTCCATCTCGGCCTTCTGCATTGCATCTATGTCGATAATCTCAATTTCTCCTGACGATCGTTTAGGAGCAACGTTTGAAGGAGAGGTTTTAGTCTGTCGAGTTTTAATCTTCTTCAGGGGGCTAGGATTTTCATTGGTTCCTGAATCTTTCGCGGATTCCTCTAACTCTTCTTTCTTTTCCGTGTTCTTGCCCTTCCAACTTTCAACCGGTTTGATGATCACAGTGACATCGGTAGCCACGGTGTCGCTTTGGATCACCACGATGTCCTTCGTCTTCTTCGAACTCTTTGATCTCGTAATTTGTTCTGATTGACTTTCCTTTTTTACAATTCGATCATCTTTGCTTAAATCGGACGACATGGCGCAAACATCAGAATGTTGAACGTGCTCCAAATCATCGTCAGAGAAAGTACGCTTGCTGGTGTTCGAATCATGATCGCTTTCCTTCCCGGTGTCTATTTTGAGTTCCTCGCTGCACTTCTTATCGGGAGTTTCGATGAGCTCCAAAGAATGGATGTACTCTAAATCGTCGTCCGATATGGTGTTTTTACTGTTTTTTCTCTGCAAACTAGTTGAAGGGTCCTCGCAGAGAACGTGCGCACATTTATCGCCTTCGAAACATTCCGCTTGCTGTAGTTGGCTGATCTCGGAGCTTTGGATGTGTTCGATGTCCTCGTCAGATTGAGCCAAAACACTATCTTTATTGCAACAAGTTGATTCTACGATGTGATACTCGCTAGAGCTGAAATCATCGGCCGAGTCTGACGGTGGATACTTGAGTGTATCGCTGTCGATAGCACTCGTGTCTGACTTAGACTCCTCCTTTTTTTCCTCAATTGCACATTCCAACTCGATGACTGGCTCCAGCCGTTTCTCGAATTTCTTGCTCTCTACTTTAACATCAGCTTTGATTTCCTTTTTATCCTGAACCGCAGAGGACTTCGATTTACCCTTAGACTTTCCCGAATCCCTGGATGAATCTCCGTTTTTGCTTTCAGTATTCTTTCCCTTCGCGTCCGCGTCAGCTGTGCTCTTCTGGCTTTCTTTTTTTTCACTGCAACTACTTTTCGGCTCCACATACGTAGTGTCTTCTATAACGATGCTGTCTTCATTTTCTTTCAGGATGTACTTCTTCACCGAAGTCTTAGCTTCTACTTTTTTCCCGGAGGTCCCACTGGGACCTCCATTTTTCCCGGATGACTTTTTTGTTGGTTTCTCCAACTCGCTAAGCTTCTTAATATCTGACTTATGTTGCGCAACATTTCTCCGTCCCAAAGCCAACTTGTTCTCCATCAACACTACACTCTCGTCGTCGCAGTTGACGACGTACTGGGCCTCGGACATGTTCCTCTCGTGCGCTTTTTCTTCTCTTTTATCGAACCTCTTGCACCAAGCTGTCTCTTTAGCCTGCGTCATAGGGCTGCTAGGTATTTCACCCGGTTGTACGCAGAGACTCAGACTAGTTGGCACGTCGCGGAACACCTCTGCCTTCTCGAAGTCTATAGTAGAATTACCGGGGTTCGTAATCGGTGCGATCTCTACACACAGTGCTTTCCTCTCTTTCACCTCATAGATGTTCTCGTCGGGTACACTATCGATCGCTGGTTCGCTAGCCGAACGCATTTCCGCGCAAATCTCTGTTAGATCGCGCAATGTCTGACTCTCCAGCTCTAAATCACCGAGTGATGCGGGACCCTCCTCGGCGCACACACTCCTAGGTGGTTCTGGCACGTAGCTTTCTTCCGCGGAATCGAATTCCTGACTGGAGTTAACGTCTTCCTCATCGGCTGACACGGTAATCACGGTGCCCAGAGGGTTGACAACTTTAGTTACCGGTTGACCCACCCTCTCAAATACCGATCGCCTCCCTAGTAACAGAAAAAGCCATTGGCAGGTATCAATATCGAGATGCAGTCTCCATCGTTTCATTTTTTTCTTGTTTGTTTGTTTCAGTTTTAGTCTTTGTGAGGTAGAACTGTGTTCGGTAGCTTGAGGGGAGTGTCGAATAAAGTGCAGAGTTTGAATGAAAAGAAGTTGCCTCGAGTATTCTGTTTTTTTTCCATTAAGGCGGTATCATGAGGTAATCGTAAGAACAATAATAACGTGAAGGTAAAAAAGTCTTGGGATAAATGGCAAGATTATAGACATATCAAGGATTTGTAACCGAACGAAGTTTTCACACTGCACACCACAAAGACACAAACTTCATCGCAATAATCACTTTTAGGGTTTAAATGATACATCGAGAATGCAAAAAAATTCCATTGATACTTGTAAATGTGTTTCAAATGTTCGTTGGAATATCGTGTGAATTAAAAAAAAGAATGAAAGTATTCTTACGAAGTTAGTAGACTGTCCTCAGCCTTTTTCAAAGTGTTTACCTCAACTTATGGGGTAAATGTTAAGAGAAATACATCACTGCTAGTAATTAAATATAAATATATATAAATATATATATATATATATATAGAGAGAGAGAGAGAGTCTCATTAAAAGGGAGGAAAACGGAGATACCTGCCTCTGGCCAGTTCTGTATCCACCTCACACTTACAATCTAACAATCATCCGTCACCAAATGCAGAAAGCGAAATCACTGCATCTATTGATAGACGCGTGCTCGCGGGTATTGTTTCTAACAGAATGCCGACGAATTCGAATTACTATGAAATGTTATCATTTCTTCCAATGAGAACAATATGGGAAATGTATTCGAATTTTGTTTTTAACAATGTTACCGATGTCATTCATTTAACTCTTTGCACCACTTTGACGAATCTCACTTGTGATTACAATTTTAAACCAAACGAATGGAACGAGCAAGGATCGAAGTCACAACACAAGTGAGATATTGGCTGGTATAATTGTAGCCTGAATTTTGCACGACTAAATGGTAGTGCAAGGGATTAATTGTATGTTGCTTTCTAGAAAGTGTACGGTATTGATGGTTATCAGAAATAAAATTACTTTCGATGAATGTGATGTAACAAAAAAAAGCAACTTTATCTCTGTTTCAATAATAAAATTACTGCATTTAGCAGGAGGATTCATCGATTGTAAGAATGTATTACGATCCACGTTAATTCAGATGTTCAGAAGTAAAAAAAAGTGTTGATAATTCGAATTATTCGTATAAAATGTTCTGTCATTTATTAATACAGATCTCGTATAAATATGAAAATACGTTGCGTAATATCAACAAACGGGACACGTCGTGATGTTGAGAATTTTCTATTTCAAAGCAAAGCACAACATGTCTGCTTGAACAAACTTACTTACCAGCACGATGAGGTGCAATAGACGTTTCCAACATCGCTTCGGCCAAATCTTCTCTTAGCTGATTCTCGCCGCTCCCAACACCCGCGTTTTCGCTATCTAAGCAATCGCCATAGGCTTCCATGAACCTTGGCGATTGCTCGTAACTACCTGTAAAATATATTAATACCAATGGAATAAACTTGTCAAATGCTTTAAGAGTATTATCTCAAAATATGTTTTTATTTACTACTTATATATTAGTTTGTGAACAAATCTTTTTTTATTTTCTCCTTTAATCAGTAATCTTATAATCATCAAAATCGAACTATAATCACAAATGTAACAATAATAAACTTAAAGTAATATGTAAGATTAAGATCAAAAATTTCGTAACATATTCTAATTACTAAAGTCAAGCTTTTATTTAATATAACTTCAACTTCCTCAAGACTTGAGATTTGATAACAACATTTATATAAAACATGTTGTGAATGGTTTATTTATAGACTTACTTCCTGATCCATCGATAACTACGGGAACTAATGACCTAGATGTAGCATGAGGCATATTCACCGGATTTGATCTCGCTGGACGAGACCCACCGGTTACACCAATTTCAACAGCCTCGGCTTCGACCAAATTCACAGGAGCTCTGTAATTAATTAGTAAATATTAATATAATATATAGAATAATAACAATAGTAATGATAATAATATAAATTACCAAAATATTTCAAAAAACTAACCCACTAGTTGCATTGTAGGTTTTAAAGACAAACTGTGGTCCCATCCAAAGTCGTCTATGTGGACCCGCATGGGTTACTATTTCTACTTGACTTAACCAACGATCCTCTGCTAAATCCATGTCTTGAATGTCTTTTGGTGAAGTAACGACACTTAACAAAGGACTAGTTGGTGGCAAAGGAGACACAATCTCTAAAGAACTCGGAGTTCTTACAAGAGGCCACTGACCTCTTGGTTCAACCTCTAATTCAATCATTGTATCATCACACACTTTTTCTTTTGGTACGCCTGTAAAACATTATTTATTTTCATATCTTCTATTCAAATTAAATTTTCTTTTAATATTTGCATTTTATTCACCTGCTGCAGGTTTAGGTTCTAAATCATATTGTATCATGTTTCCATGACACGCCATGATGAATAAGGAATCTACTGCCCTCTTTATAACTTTGGCGGTATTTTCTCTTTGTGCATACATCCAAGCTCTTGGTGGTGCAAAACAAGCGCATATCTTTAATGGTATAGTTGCACTATCATCGGAGTGCAAACGTTGTCGTTGCTGCGGCCTGCTGAAGAATTTCGCATGTAAAAACTTATATTTAGAAAAATTCACAATTAATTCATATTGTATAAACTGTACCTCTGTTGAGCTTGGCTGTTCACGTAATTTAACGTAGATTGTTGCCTAATCTGTGCGAGAGGATGTAGAACCGTTGGATGGGGATATGGAGGAAGTCTTGGATTAGAGTATGGATATACTGACAAAGGCAACTCTGAATGGGAGACAGGAGAATGGGATCTGGTTCCATCATCCATTAATCCTGCACTTCTATGAAATCTTGAAAGTCTATTTACAACATGCGGCGTTGAATGGGTACGCATGCCTACCGGACCGCCATAGGGTGCAACCGGGAATACATGAGTAGTGCCCCGTACAGTTGAAATAGCCGCCCAACGGGTATCACTCGAAAATACCATATCCTATAATAAAAGAAATATGTTCAATGATAGCTAGAACAAATTCCAATAAACAAACATTAAGGATTAATTTAATGTACCTGCACTTTTGCAGTAGTATCTCCGCGATGTAAAATATATAAATGGTGTACTGCTGCTAAAGTAGGGCCGCCTGGATGCGGCTGAATTCTAAATACATGAAAATCATGCCCTCTTTTGTCAGCGGTCATCAACAAAGCTCCGCTTAAATCAAAAGTCATGGCAACGATCGCATCACTGTGGGCAGTAAAATGAGCAATTATAGTTTCTACATTTGGATCATCTGATCCTTTCTCCTCTTTTGCAGCTTGAAGGTCCAATATCGTAATCACACCCGGTTGAGTCACATCATTTCCTGTGTTATTGACAACTATTGGCGACGTCGAATTACCAGTTAAACTTGACGCAACAGTTTCTCCTAAGCCACGCAAACCTTTACCCAAAGATTTTGCAGCATAAAGAACAGTTGCGGTATAACTTTGAACTCCTTCTCCTTCGCAACCCCCACTACTTCTCTTAGATGGTAACAATTTTTTTTCACTGAGAACAAGACCAAACTTTTTGTTATGACAGAATGATTCATTTATTTCGTTGCTAAATAGCAATTTTATTAGAATAACATTACAAAATATATTATATTACCTGTAGGCGAGCCACCTTGTTCCTAAAGCAACAGGGTTCGGATTTGGCCCTGGACTAGCATGACAGGTAGTGACTGTTAATACATCATCCAAAGTTCGAGCATCAAACACTGCAATTTTTTCTAAAAATGTTATTACGATAGATCGCTTATTCGCCAAAATATCGCAAACAGGATTTTTAAATTTTATGCTTTTAGTCTGTTCTCCAGTTTTCAACGAAATGAAACTAATGTTGCAAAATTGTGGACCAGGACCAGCTGAATCACATACTGCCACCATTGGGCGTTTCAGTTCAAACAGATCAATGTGTTCATCATCAGTCTTTGGATTTGGTAAAATTCTAAGAGTATGGACTACTCCTTGTCTCCATGATAAAACTTCTGTTGCCTCCCCTGTTGCTGCTATCAACCACACCTGTATGTATATAAAATAAATAAAATTTATTATTATTCTGATCATAATACAATTATTTACATTTTAATCCCTTGTTCTATAATATTGTGTCAGACTTATAACAAAAATTTTAAACTGAATTTAAGAAATCTAAATGTTACTGACTTTTTCTGAATGTAAATTAAATATTACTTTTCTGTTATCAATATTGAACCTCACAAATAAACATATATATGTAGGGTAAATTTAAAATTTATATCTTTTTTTAGTAAATTATCAATGCTATAGTAGTTTTGTTAAGCTCAGTTATGAAAGAAATCATAGAACGAGGGGTTAAACTAACTCAAAATTGTCTATATATTAATGAAGGTACAGTTCTAAAGTTCATATAACTATAATACTAAAATGGTATAATTAAAACTTTTAACATTTGATTTTATTGCATTGAAAAGTTTGAGTTAAATTATATATACAATATTTCATACATAAATATTTATCACAAAAGTGATAATGTATATTGTAGAAGATAAAGGATAAAAAAACTCAAACCTGAACTCCAGTAGTATAACCAAGCACCAATAATAAAGGTGGTGTATTAGAGCCTTCATTGTAGTCTGGATATAAGACTGGATCATTAATGTCTGCATACTCAAACCGTGCCCAAGATATAGATTCCTTGTTATCAGAATTTAATGAACTACTATAAGCCTGCTCATAAATAAGATGACGTATTTTTATAATAAAAAATTATAAAGAAAATAGTGTTTTCAAAGATTAATCTTTAAATACTTCAAGTACCTGTGGAACTATATCATTGATAATTCCAGCGACACTATCTATAATTGATCGATCAACTATAGGCTGAGGTGATACAACTTGAGCTCCTTTATGCACACCACGCCTAGGAGAGTCTGCAGACATGATTTCTTCCAAAATTGAATATTTTTACCTACAAGTAAACATATACACATTTATCGTATCATAACTATAATGTATAGCTTTCATTAAATGTTTTCATTATTCCTGAAATTTGTAATTATACTTTTCAATAAATTTTATATAAATTATATAGTAATTTATAAAACTAAGGAAACTAGAAATCACTTAATAATCAATATCTATTTAACATTTTTTTATCCTAAACTGTAAAGATAAGCTGCTACTATTACTAATTAAAATTATTTATGAATTAATATAGAACTATTAACTAAAAAGAAAAAAGTAAAAAACAAACAATAACTACACTAATTCAAAAACACATTTTAAGAAAAATAAATAAAATATTCTGACAATAAAAATCTGTATTTTATACGCGCGAAAATTTCCGTGTATTGAAGAGGAATTAACTGTACGCAACATAAACGTTTCTATTAATAACAATATAGTAGATAACGATAAAACAACGCATAAAACAGTGATTAATAATTAACAAAAGACAGTCGCTTTACAGGCATCGGTATACGCGTTCGGAAATTTACGAAATGTTATTTGCACATTAAATAATGCACAACGAAGTATCAGGAAAGTAGTGGGAGAATCTATTTTGCCTGTTAAAGAATATTACACAATCCAGTACAGCTGTTCGTGGTATACGCTCAGGGACAATTAATAAAAGCCAAACAGAAATATCAAAACGACGATTAAGTGAATAGCTAAATAATTTTCAATTGTTTCAATAAGGAATGCAAATATGTTAAATTTTAGGAAAAGAAAGCTCATACATTGCCGTTAAATGAGCGACCCTGACATTTCGTCGAACAAAGAGGGTAGAAGGCTGTCGGGTCACAACAAAGCACTTGCTTCACACAACATCGTTATTATATGTTTTATAAACAGATGTCTACGGTGTTGATCACTTTCGAATTTACAGAAAAGAGAATCTTCGATTTACCTCGCCATAAAACTGTATTCTCATACTGGGAAGCTCGCCATCTCTGAAACGACCTTCTACTGCGTCATTCTACGAGTGACTGACACAACACGACCAGAAAGCGATAGTGATGTCACCCCGCCCGCGGAACGTCAATCTTTTTGTTCGAAATATGAAGCGCGTCGGTACAGTTTCTAATCACGACGGGGATTGTCAGATTCGTTGCCTGTTTCGACGCGCCTATGAAGGTATTCGGAAAAGTCGCCCGTTAATATGTATCGCATATCATAACTACAGCAACGCTCTGTTTCGTTGGAAATACGAAAACAATAATCAGCTGATTCAGATAAGGAAATGGTAGGAAAGGAGGGGAGAAGAAAAGAAAAGCACACCACAAACCCTTGCTGCTTATAATATCTAAATTATAATTAGAGGGCATAGTCGATGTTGAAATTATAACAGTTGAAGTGAATAATTCAATAAAAAAGGAGAGTAAAAGACAAGTTGTAAAATAATTCAATGTCGTTTTAAGTCCGTTAAGATAATCGTTAATGTTGATTTTCTAGGAAATTTTATCGTATTCGTGATGCTATTTTGATTAAATTCAATGTTCTCATGGGAATTGTTTTGCGAACGCTTTCGAAATTTATTACTAGATGGTTATGGTTGGTAGATAACTCTCATAAATGATGGGTCTCAAAAATAAAAAATCTCTCAAAAAAAAATCTTCACATGCATTATTAGAATTTTGTCTTTACTTCTGATATTACTTTTCAATCACAATCAAATCAATATTATCAATATCACTTCAATAAAATGATTACAACATAGTTTGATATCCGACATTGGTACCACTGTAACAGTTTTATCAATCTCAAAAGCACATGTTGCTACGGTACGCCAATACCGTAAAATTTAATATACCCCAATACATTTTACGTTTCTAATTACATATTACGTACAACAATAAGATTCAGTGACGACATTAGTGAAAAATATAATATTAAAATTAAGCGTCTTATCTAATTACGTATCACTCAATAAGTATTAGACAATAGTTAAGGGAATCAATAGTATGTTTTTTCCCGATGATGTGCTTGTTATTGAATTACTATAGAAACTGTTCTTAAGGAGAGGTTGTGTGTTCATAAATACAGTAAACTGTTCGACAGTAGCGCCATCTTCAAATACACGAAAATTTGAAATAAATTGGTACAAGTACTTACTGTATAAGTAAAATGTTCCATTACACATTGAAGAATACATAAAAATTCCATTTTTATTTAAATATATTTATAAATCAATAACAAAATAAACTATTTTCTATTATTCATTGAAACATCACTTTCTTAATAAAAATCGTTTTATTTGAGTTTGAAGTTTTTATATTGTATATGAAAATTTATTTAAACAAATTTTAATAATTTTTTCTTATCAAACCTCACATACATACCTTATATTTCTGTATTACGTGAAATTTTTCGACGAATGATCTAGTTCATTAATCTTGAACAGCTGTTCCTCCTCAATGATGTTGTACGACTGTTTCCGAAAGACTTTTCCCTCTTGATGGAGAAGTAAGACATAAACTCCCCCACAACCGGTAGTGAAGGAAACTTCTTCAAGAATGCGTCTGTCTCAAAAAACAATTTCTGACCATAGTCCAGTCTACACTTGACTACTCCTAATTCGAAGTATCTCTCAACGACAGGGATTATGGCAATCGGTATTGTTCCGTGCGTCCACAGCAGAGATCGGAGAGGTTGAAAATCTGGTTCTGCTCAGCTAAAAGATTGCGGAACGTTTGAAAGTACCGTTGGCTAAAATACCCACATGCTAAATGCGGGAAAACAGAAAGAACGTTTTTGGGAAATTTTCAAAAAATTGAAAGGGGTAATAAGATACTGGAATAGGTGCCTAGATACATATTTAGGTTTATGTAGTTTGCCTAAAATTTTTCTAGACCGCATACGGATTCTCCAAGTACCATGAACCTTAATAGAAAACGATATTTCCGTGTATTAAAATGAACGTTAATAATACAAACATTTTATCGCGATTTTAAAAAAATGGTAAGGAACACAGATGTACATACATTAAATTATTTCTATTCTTTTCCTTGAAAAAGAGAACTCTTGTTAACATTTGATAGCTCCAAAGTAAGACATTACGGTAGCGTCATAACTCCGTCATTCATATAAGGAAAATTGGCTTGTATCTGTCACATAATCGATTTAATACGTAGACCGATTAAATTTATATCTTTTCGCCGGTACCAAGTAGTTTAATAGAACGCCACGTAACTATTCATGCAACTCGATAAATCTCGCAGACTTATAAAGCACAATACCCTTACACGCGGCTATAATTACACGAAATTCAGCTTAAGATTCATATTTCATGTCGGGTGAAATGCATAGAAAATTCTTATCGTGGAATGCTCGATCTTCTGGGGCTCTGTAATTACCTGTGCGTGTATTTGTGTAGCTGGAAACCGACTTAATCGGTGAAGTTTGCGTGTCCTCCATGTCACCGATATCCCCGTCCTGTAAGCCGGAAGGCATGGTATCCTTACTTAGAAATGTATAGACTTTTACAGTATCTCTCCGCACCTCGATCAAGATAGATCAAAGAAACCGTGATTTTACCAAAGTACAATTGCAAAATATTAAGACAGTTTAATAGAAAAGAAACTCTATATTTTTAAATATGATGCGCCGAAAGAGGGTACTAACATACACACTTTCATTCTAACATAATTCAAATTTGAATGCTTTTGAAAAAATGAAAAACGCACGTAACATTTTATATATTTCACGTGAAATTTTAATTTACAAATGAAGTAAATTTACAAGTCACATTACGAATGACGCTCTTTTCTGTGAAAAGAATATTCGATGTTACATTTTGTATTGCAGTAAATGTGATAGTGAAAAAGTATGAAAATAAAATAGTTTCAATATAATAATTATTCTTTGTAGGGTGGTTTAAAGTCATCGCGGAAAATGGCGAAGAAAACGGTACCAGCTGCATTGCAAACTGAAATTTCGAACAACGAAGAATGGCAGAAGCTACTAACGAAAACTGGATTAATAGGAACGAAATTTTTCGCGTATTTATGCATTACATTTACAGACTTTAATATTAAATTTTGAAATCATGTTTTTAGTGGTTGATGTCTACTCAGAGTGGAGCGGACCTTGTACAGGTATGGTCAGCATCCTAAAGAAAATTAAAATGGAAATCGGGGGAGACGCATTAAGTTACGCTACGGTATCTATCAATTTCGATATTTTGTAACAAAAAAGAAACGAAATTTTTAAACTTCCTTACTTATCACTATTATAAACAGGCAAAATGTGATTACATAACGGACTTAGTGCGCTTCCAAGGAAAAAGTGAACCAGTTTGGATGTTTATCCATGTAAATAAATCAAATAATTTAAATAATTTTAAAAAATTATTTGAAAATTACTTTCGTCTCGATTGATAACTATCGCCATTTTGATCATACATTCAGAACGGGCGAATGATAAATCTAATGTTCGGTGCACACTGTCCGCAGTTATTAAAAATGTTGACAACAGAATTGCAACGAGTACAAAATGGTGAAGAACACGAGTGAGTACAGTTATAATGTTTTATAATTGTTTTTAATAAGAAGTGAAGTAAAGTAGTTATTTAATAATAGAAAAATTATTAGAGTATGTTATGTTGAAATACTATATGTTATGATCTTTGGATATTAAAAACTTGATATTTCCATCACGGATAGGTTTTGTTTAGATGTATCTGAAAGAAGTCCAGAGGAAATAAAACAATTAAAAATGATCGAGGAAACCAAAATAGCTAAAGAAACAGCAAAAAAGGCTCGAAAAGGTTTCGAAGATAAAATTTTAGTGTATAAAAATATCAAATGCACAAATCTGAAATACAGTCGACTACACTTTATTATTTTACATTGATTTTATAATTTTATTTTGTAAAGATGTATAATGCTTCATCAAACACGCTTTACTAAAGATTTAAATACTTAGAACAATTGTCCAAAATATACTTGTAGAAGCTGAAGCGGTAGCGCGGTATGAAGCAGAAATGCTTCACTTGACTACGTCATTAAACAGGGAAACTTGTCTATTACTTTATCCCTGGGTTTTCAAAGATGAAGAAGATCATAAACGGGATAAAAAATCAAGTCCCCCATATGTAGAATTAGTTGAAGAAATACTACCGGAGAATTATGTTATTGAACAGGAAATACGGAAACGACTCAACGAGAATCTTCTTGGCGAACTTTTTAAGGAAGTAATTATACTAATAACATTATTATCACTACATTCGACTAATTATAAAAGAATTAAAGGGTTTTATTAATACATATTTCTGCAGTCCGACTATGTATTGTCAGGAAAATATAAAAATTTACTATTAGATGGTAAATGCATGTTTATGAGACTAAAGGCTACCGACGAAAATGCGGAAGTTGACGTTCATTCGCATTTGCTCAGCCTTTTATTCGGAGAACCGGAATTACCAAGTGCGGAAAAGGTTTTTACAGAAGAATGGTACTTTTAGATCTAATTAAAAATACACGTGGTAAATGTTTAAATGTGTGTCCTCCTTGTTCATCAAAATAACCCTGAAATATGTTGTTAAGGACTTCATTCTGAACAACTTTTTTCTATATATACAAGTACCTACAATGGCCGAGCTTTTTTCAAATTTCGAATTATACTACAGATAAGGAACTAAATGACCAGTTTGCCACTTCTCCTCTTCCGCTACTTCTCTGAGCGGGCCCATTCATACCCACTAGGCTGTGACAAGTGCAGTCAAATTCTTCTTCTTCTACTTGCCGGTACATTGACATGTAATTCATATTAGTTGATGCTACTACGGCTATGTACGGATTTAATGGGTATGGACAGGGCCGTTCAGCGAAGCAACAGAAAATAAAAGTAGCCCGTGGGCCCGGAAGTTGTTTCGTATGATGTATAAAAATTAATTTCAGTTAGATAATAAAGATTGGTATTAGTACTGGGCTATTCTTTTTGGGTGGGAATATAGGGGTGAGGACTTCATCGCTCACATTGACATTTTATAATTGCCAATAAACTTTATAATTATCAGATTCGAAGGATTTAACCGCTCAATACCTTCCACTTGCTAAAGAAACTAGCCTCACTAATATCAATCTCTATTATATATTTAAAATTTATGTGTCGTTATACATTGTAAAAAGTAACATTAATAAATAAAGATGAAGGTGATAAATTTCAAGGTCATAAAGTAGTTGTCCCATAAATATTTTTACAAATATCTTGAAAACTAAAACAGATCGCCCATTGTACGTGCAGAAAAAAGTTCAAAATGATGTTTTTATAACATATTTCAAGGTCACTGAAATCGGTGAGAAGACATACTTAAACACTTACCAATTTAATCTTTAAGTTTATTATTCAATTTCTTTAATTTTACAGTTACGCAGGTCGCCACAGACCTGCCTTTGTAACAACTGAAAATGAAAGTGAAATTTTCCCTCTGGTATGGTCACCTCCAAATTGTAGAAACAACGCAATCGTTTTTCGTACAATTTTTCCCACGTACACAAATAAAACATACCAGGCAAGTAGATTAATTTTCGCTGTAAATAATACAAATATTATTACAGTTTTCACTTTTAGTACGAAGATAAAAGTGCAAATGTTCCTATAGTGGTATTCAAGTATGATTATACACGAAAAAATGAATTAAAAATTGTTTTGGAAGAATTTGATGATGAAGTAGTTAATTTTGGTATTTTCGAATCCGATAAACCACCGGAAGCAAAAATCATTGCCAGAAGTATTGATGAATTTGAACAAAACACAAAAGAAAGAACAGGGCGAGTATCGAAATATTTATAACTATCTTTTGGGAAAAATTGTGTATCCTTTTTGAATTTATTATTGCTGTGATAATATAAAATCGAACTATATTAACAGGTACGAAACATTTGTATGTGTTGTAAAAAAAGTAGGATGTGAAGCATTCTTAGGGTTTGCTGGTATTGGACCTTATCATGTGAGTGAAAATCCAGAAAAAGGTTTAGAGGAGTCTAACTTATATTTCCCGGATATTACTAGTTTGGAAGAAACGCAATCTGATGATGATGAGAAACTAGAAGAAGTGGCAGAAAATCCTGAAGAAAACAATGTTGCACAAACATGAACATATTCATATCTAAATTTGCTTTTTATCAATAATCCTTCTTGTAATCATTTAATAAAAAATATAAGTTTCAATTAAAATAAGGGATTAATAAAATAGGAAATGTTGATAAGAAGCCTACATTTATTTTCCAGTTACCTTAACTTGCTATATAAAAGAATGTATAAACAGACAAAGTGTCTAGATTATGCAAGTAACTCAAGGGTATGGTACAATAAATGATGGCAAATAAACAAAATTTATTTCTTATAACCACAGCTTCGCCTACGGCCTCTTGCTCTTTCAAACTTTCGTCCTTTAGAACATACTAATGGCTTCGTATGAGAATGTGGTACACCGGGAGCTGGTCCAAAGTGTTTCACTGCTTCACGTGCCTTACGAGGACCTTGCATTAAGACCGTCCGTTTTCCAGTAGGTGCACGCAATGCTAACTGATCAAAACTGATCAATTCACCTCCAGCTTTCAAGATACGGGCCCTAGCTTTCTCAGTAATACGCAGAGCACAGACCTATCAACAAATATGAATATTTAGTATTTTAATCATTTCATTGTGGTATACTCTATTAAAAAACTATTGTTCAGAACAAAAAAACTCATGGAACTGAATTTGATCAATTACTATTGAATATATAAAACAATAAATGTTTTAAACTAAGCAAAATTGATTGCACACGTACACACACTTGCACGCGAAATTTTAAAATACTGTAAATATGAGAAATAAAGTTTGTTTTTTAAGATCCACTCATTAAGTTAGTAGACTCACTGTAAGTTTAGGAACTTCAAAAATCCTAGCATCATCTGTTACTGTCCCCACAATTACTGCAATAGAATTTTCACGTCCAGGTTTTTTCATAAACCTGACAACTCGTGCAAGAGAAATCGGTGGACGATGTATCTTACTCATAAAGAGTCTTTTAAGAATGATCTTGTTAAACTTGGAATTTGTACGCCTGGCCAAGAACCGATACAGCTACAACAGAAAGAAATAATTTAAATATTCAAAGAATACAATTTTTCGAATGAATTTTCACAACAAGTTTACAAACATAACATAAATATATGTAGTTATATTTCGAATGTAAACTTTTATGGACTTCATGAGTACAGTGTGTCAATTAGTATAATCGTCTTCAGCTTGGCGCGTTCAGACGGAATAGGAAAATTGACTAAATTTTCTCTAGCGAACGTTCAAATTGAATCAGTACATAAACGTACTAACACAGAGTGCGATTCGCAACATAAGTTTACAAGTACAGGACTCACGTGTTTATGACAACAAATACTGTTTCAATTAGTATATACAAGAATATCATCAAACTGATATTAACCGGCGACTATAAAATTACTTATTAAATGCCTCAATTTAATTCAAAAGATATTAAAAATACTACATGCAATTTATAATTAGTACTAAAAGCCACACGTGATAGTACTCACTTTGACGAGAAGTCGTAGGTAGACATCTTGAGATTTAGGTTCTGTACGCCGAACCTTTCTATCGTGCTTATGATTAATATCGATACCCTGTAATGCAAATAATCATCATTAATTTTCATTGACACTTTTGAAGTTTTACTAGATTTTGCATTCATTGCCATCTATAAAGATGAATTAAATGTCTATTGATTTTCTGAACCCAACAAATCCACATCACCGTCTTACCATTTTGACAAACCGGAAAAGAAGCGGACGATCTCTTATGCGGAGTGAACAAAACTCATCGAAACGGATGTCCGAGAGGGCGCTGTTTAACACTAAGAAATAGCTGCTAGGAACAAATCTCATGAGAACAAACCACAATAATAAATTATTAAATACACAAATTTAAATCGATTTGTATTAGAAATACATATATACGAATTAAAAGAAACTTAAACATAAAATAAATTTCAATTATACAGTATTCACATACGAGTTAGCGAAGTTACCAAACTAAAGAAAAAAAATAGCTTAATACATTAAATTTCTCTTTGCCTGCAGATACATATTTATGTATTTTGAAAAATAATTTTCAATACATGTACTATTGTATATAGTATATCACATTTAACAAATTTTTTAAATACTTTTAAGTATAATGTATATTCTTTTATATCGCACACAAATTAATTGCTTCTTATTAAGTATATGTATTTTTATATGGAAATATTTTTATTATGTTTGCAAATTATGATTTTTACATATAATATAGTTTAAATTTAAATGTAAACGTATAACTATTTGGTACTATTTAACTTAATTAAGGTAAAAAATATACATATAATATGATGATAATGTCGTAATCTGTTTTGTTTTCATTTATTGTGATATTTCTATAGAATGTTCAATAATTTTGAATATATATTTCTATGGAAAACTTTTATCGTTATACATTTATCTTACTTCTCAGTTCTAAATAAAACAAGGAAACATTCGTTATAAATCAACAAACTAGCGACTTAGTTATGATGAAAAATGAAATTTTATTTTATATAAATTTATTTTCATTGAAATTTGATAGATGTATGTATTATACAGTGTATTTTAAAATTCAAGATAATGTTGAAAGATCGTGGTAATATATTGACTGATTATAAATTTAAGATTAAAGAAAAGGAAAGGAAAGAAAACGATGAAATTGATTTCTACTATAGTTTGATTTAGTTTTAATTCAAAAAGTCAAAATTCATAAAGTATTATTTATGAAGATAAATTCTGTCTTAATAACAAAACTTTCAACGTTTAATTATTCTGGTATTTAAAGGAGTTCCATTACCTTTGAAATCTTATATCCCTGTCTTTTGTAGCCCTCTGATGGCGAATGCACGAGCTACCGTGGTATAGCAATTGGTCTTTCAGGTTTCATATAAACAGTATATGCTGTGGACATCAGAGTGCCGAGGCAGTTCAATGTTCGGGTGCGCGCAAGTACGGGAGTAGTCGAGTTAATAGTCAAATAATTTTTGTTAGCCGCAATCAGCATAGAATACTGTATCAATTACGGATGCACAAAAGAAAAGGAATTTAAACAGTGTTCATCGAGATGATTCCAAAACCGTCCATTTGTTAAATCCTTTAGGAAAACACTATTACCAGTGTATTAGCCGAAGAAATACACGTGCTTTGATAAATTCGCAATGGAGCAAGTAGAATTTAGGAAATAAGATACGGAAAATGCTCAAAGAAACAACAATAAGTGTAAAATAAAATTAAGATTATCAAATGATCAGCATTAATATACTTTTTTAAATGGAACCTTTCGAAACGGCACCTCGCAGAACCGAGGCGGAGAAGTCCATCAATGAAAAGCGATGTCTGTTCGCTGTGTGCCTTAAATGTCATGATAATGGTCTATCCATGGAACGAATATCAATGTAATTCGTGTTTCTTAACGAATGCAAGACAGTCATCGGCGTGTCATGGAGGACAGTGGTCAAATGCATTCTAGCACTCTTCTTGAAGAAACCTTCTATGTCACATCCAAGAAAAACACCTACTACAAGGTGAGACTAACAGAGAAAGGTCTCAGCTTGGAGAAAGACAATAATGGCGCGACAAAAGTTGAAACGATCATTTTGAGCGACATAATTGGATGCAGATGTATGCGCTCGAAGCGCAAAAGCGCGGGAAGCTGTGTTTGTGGCCCGGGCACATCAAGATCGCAGCTTAAGCTCGTCGAGTCTGCGGAAGCTTATCAGTGTTACGATGAATTCGACACATCGGCCTATCTTTATATTTATGCTTACACTTTGAAGAAAGCGCGTATGAAAGGTGTGAAGAGGCGTGAAAGGACCACGATCACGTTACGCTTCCGCAGTTTTGACAAGTACGAGGATAATCTACGAGAGGCTAGCAGGTGGCGATTAGCCATCAAATGCCTCATTGCTAGCGTGCCCGTGCCTAAAAGTTTTATGAGCCCCACTCACGGGAACCTCGAGTCCCTGATTAACGGTAAGTTGAAGTTTTCATTGTTCAGAGATACGAATGGTGTAATTCGATAAATTACTGGGCGGTTGAACTTTTTCTTAGATAAGTTAATAACGCAGATCATTCGGATGGTAATGTTAGGTAATCAATATTTCTATCGTCATTGTAATGTCTGCGAGTATTTGCGCAAAACAAATGCACAGTAATAATTGAATATCAATATTATGTATTCTGATTGCTGAATTTTAGAATATACATGAATATGAACATCCTCAAAAATTGTTCTCATTCTTCTGTAAAATACAAACACTGTCTTAAATTTCATAATTAAATAGCAAAAGTAATGAAATATGTAGCTATAACTAAAAGAATGTTACAATCAATGTTGTAAATGTAAATATGAATAGAATTTGTATATTATTATTATATTATATGTTTACATTCATTAAATCTTTCGTCTGATAATTATTTTATCAAGATACAAAGAATGTTGAATCTGAACATGTTTTCATTTAAGCATTAGCACTCAGCCAAATGCCTCTAATATGTAAATACAGAGTAGATGATACAGTAGAATGTGAAATACTTTCTATTACATGCCTCGCATATGCAGGCTAGGTGCCAACATATCTTTGGTTGGCTGGATCTAACCAAGTAGATGTAATATGTTTGCTTCTAATACAACAAGTGTTCCCTGAGATGTGTTATTTCTCTCAGTGTATTTTATTTAAAATAAATATTAATGCAACATATTGAATTTGATTTATTGTTAAATAAATTCAATGAATTTCAGCACATATCTATGTTTTTTCATTTTTATCTTTTTATATTTTTTTTATTTCCTTAATTCTATTAAAGTTAGAAAGTAGGAAGTGATATATTTTATTGTACATAATGTATGCTTATAAATTATCTTTATATTACTCTCAACCATAACAGCTGTGTGAGTTATGTAAGAACAAGGTATTACTGCAACTGTGTATGTTCCAAAATTATTTGCAATCTTCCCAATTCCTCCTGATAGGTATAACAAAAGAAAAACTAGATGCACGTTACTTTATGTCACATTATAAATTCAAATATTGGTTCTAGATCATTGTTTCTATTGATTGACAGCTTTAATTTAAATCTTGTTTAAAATAAAAAGTTTAAAAGAAATTGTACAGTATCATCTAATACGAATTTTTATTTTATTATTTTATTACATTATGTAACATGTTGTTTAAATGTTATATAATTCTTACTTTGCATTTATATTTACATACAATATTGCTTGTAAAAAATAAGATAACAGACTATGGTGTTATTATTGCATACTCATGAATTTTAATGAATGAGTTACACATATTTATTTTTGGTCTTGCATATTATCCACACTATTTAATGCTTAAAAATGATAAACCCAGGTAAATGGTGAGCAATTTGCAGTTTAAAAACCTTTTAATGTTATATCAAGTAGAAAAAGGAAGATATTTTGAGTTTAATATATTTTTATCTCTCTCGAATTTAATTAAAAACTCGACAAGAAAGCCTATTAATAAACTAAAAAAAGTAATGAAGTCTACTTAATAATTACATCATTTAATCGTTGTTTCATAATCATAGAAGTTAATACATTTTTTAGTATGTGTTTTTAGATTATTACAGCCTTTCCAAGAACTATTAATCACGTAAAAAGATAACAATTTATATGAAGCTATTTCCGAATATCTTTGTTCCTTGATAGTTATTCGATTCGATCTTCGGGGATTCATTAATTATTTCGAGTATGCGCCAAAATTGGGCCAGTTCTGCTAGAACGGTATACTCGTATGTATGTACATCCGCATACACTCTGATCCAGTTCCTCTTCATTAGCGCGTTTTCTGCAGCGTAACATCCGCATTTTAGAGGAGCAGAAAAATCATTATTCCGCCAGTAGCAGGATTCCCATGAAATTTATGCGCAATCACTTCCTGTTTCAGAGGATTTTTTAATATTATTACGCTCGCTCTTCCCCCTTCCCTACTTACACAAAAGTTTTCATAAAGAATTTACAACGATGATACGCTACGAAAATTAACATCTTTTTCATCCTCGAATATTCCGTTGTCCAAGTTTTTAATTGCAATTAATCCGTTTGAGATAATACACTTTGAAACAAACGAAATCAAAAGTGCCATTTCAAAAGACTGTAGTATCTACTCTTACTTTGCACAGGACTGTTGATAGCCGTCGTAAAAGATGTCGAAAACATTCTTTCACGCTGAAACTTAAATGAGAAAATTATATAACTTGTTCAAATTGAATTGCACAATGTCGGCTTTAGTAATTAAAGCTGGCGCATTGAATAACCGCCAGGAATTTTTTCGCTCGTGTGCTAAACGCGAAACAATCCTGGTTTACAATACAGTTTTTGCTCGCCGTATTTTTGAACGTGATCAATTCGTTTAAGCAAATTTCAGTTCCTGTATGATAATCTATTACAATTGTGTATCAAGTTGACAAAAATCACGTAATGATGATACATCAATGTCCAGAAGTCGGTTCTATGAAAATAGAACACTTCCCGCGAAAAATCGCGTTGAAATGTATTATCATTATCTGTAACAAACATCTATCACTGCTCCTCAGATTTATTTTTGTTATCTGCCATGTTTTCGTTTCGGAAAATAATTCTGAAATTTGTATGAAAAATTACACGAATTGAAGCACGGGTAGCTGTTCACGTTAGCGCGCGTGTATTTAACCAGTTGATTGCGTTTGACGAGTATACACGTCATCTTAAAACTCTAAAGGGTGCTAACTTTTTCAACGATGGCCTATTTACTTTTTTAGACAAACATGTATGTAATTCTTCTACGTTTTACTTTTGTTTTCCCTTAGAACATATTATAAGCGCAGTTGGTCTGCATTTGACAAGTATACACACCATTATCAATACATTGGTGTTCATGTCTAAAAATTACAGGGATAAAAGTGTAGTTACGCTTGCTACATGTATACAGGTGTATACTTGAATACATGCGAATGAGAAACCTCTGTGAATGATCTTCCAGCCGATGAATAAGCAGAAGAAATAAATTCTGGGTCGAGTGATAAGTCAATGCGATAAGCGACGATCACTAGTAGAGGCTCGTAGGTCAGTACAGTGTGGTGGCTCAGGCCTGGGGGGTTAATAGTAAGGATGAGGTATGGAAATAAAGGGGATAGAAATACACTACAGTTCAAAAGTTCGGTATCGCTTGTATAACATGTTCGCGACCAGCGTCACATGTTTGTGAAATTATTTTCATAAGAGGTTGTATCTAAAATCGTGATGCACGGAGTGATTTTTAGGAAGTTGACGTGATTTTATTCTTGAATTTGATTTGCTTTTTATGAAGACAACTCATTGCATTTCGTAAGACAAGCTAATATAATCAATATAATAATAATCAAACCCATAAAAATGATTTCAAATTTCTTGCTTCATATTGCAGATACTGTCAACCTGTTAATCATGGAATTTAGTTTTTAATCTATTGTTTCGCGTGCAATAAAATAAATTAATGAAATGTGTACTCGTCAAACGCAGTTGTCTGGTTAAGACGCTTTTATTGGAATTTTTGTTGACTTTGATTAGAATAAAGAAAAAAATGTATATGCTCATTTATTTCCCATTAACCATTCTTAGCTTAAAGTTCTGTATGTAGTGTACTTCAATTCACTAAAATCCATTAATATAATCATTTAACATGTGTCGGTTGTTTTACTGTTGACATGTTGGATAACACAACTTTTTGTACATTTAAAAATTAATTTTCCCGGCGATACATTAGACAAACAAAATTTTGTTGGATCTACGAGAAGCGAGACGGTTCAGAGAGCAATCTTTGTGAAAAATCTTGACTTTCCAGTTTCTGTTTCCTTAGGCAAATTACTTTGATTGTATGAGTATGTAATTTGTTGAGTGCCGATTGGTCGGCCAACGCATTACTGAGAAGAAATCTTGCGTTTCCTTTACTTGGAAAATTACAAAAGAATGGTTGAGTTCCATACGTTTCAGGTTGAGTCATGGAATTATGAAAGAACATGATGAGATTTATTACTTAACTTTTTATGGTCTTATATCGACACAGACTGAGCATTGCGGTTTATTTCAGTGGTCAAATACTTCAACGATTTTCCTTGTAATTTATTCATCTTTACATACGTGTTTGAAAAGTACTGGAATTTTATATAATTTTACTTATATAAATATTTAAGGAATACTCCAATATTCGTATGTTTTTAAGCGAAGAAAGAAGGTATCATGTCCTTATTTCAACCTTGAACGAGATATCTCGCCTATAGTATACCGTCTAACTTTATCAATGAAATATTTCGTAACAAATTTTATTCGTATGACTAAACTGTCAGTGACAAAGGCAGACAAGTGCGTTTGTTTTTTACGTGATATGACTCAACGCAATGGTTATATCTAATCCAACATTACAGTTTCGAAGTTTATGAATGAATATTAATATTTTATAACATTAATAAATCGAAAAAATTTTAATTTGAGAGGATCATCGTTAAAAACGAAATATTGTTAAATATTTTATAGTCTCTTAAACTTAATCTTTATACACGCATTTTAATGTAGCGCGTGGCATTATTCGTGTTTCCTGTTTGATACGTCAGCAGAAACTTACGAAATATTCTACCACTTCGTTTCTCGTGTACATTTCTTCGAATTTTTGTTGTATCCTATATTTGCAGACATCCATTAACACTGTTCTAAGAATTGGAAGCTTCTTTTTTCTTTTGTGTCGTAATTGTATAGATTAGAATAACGGAATGGGTAAATACATAGATTAAATATAGAAATGAAGCAAATATTTTGATCGTTGCTTCGTGTTATAATTAAGAAAACACATATTTCTATGTTATTCATTTTGAAAGAATTTAATAGTTGTTAATTTGGAAAGAACGATTGATTTAACAAACAAATTTACCGCTGATTATGCACTTTTACATTTCGTATTTCATTATTGGGATAATTGCATCGTTTCTTCCTGTAT